ACGGGTGAGCTGTGGTTCTCCTCTGCACCTCCTGTGCAGCAATCCAAAATGGAAAACAATGGAGGACCCTCAAGAGAACTCCATTCAGGAGTAATCCCACCAAGGTGGCCTTCTACACTAATGCTTGGTATACCTTGAGCAATCCGGTCATCTCTCTGCTCAAATCCTCCCAGGTCATGTCCCCGGGCTTGATCTTATGTCATTAATGAGCACCTACCATTTTTCAGGTGTCAAGCTAAGTAATGAACTTAATTTCTTTAAAGTATCCATTACCCTCTCTAAGCATTTCCTTTTAAGATGCAAATACCCTCTGAGAATGGCAATGCACTAAATAGCTAATGCCCCAGGTTGGGTTCATGGGGTGAGGTCTTTCTTGAAAGACTATGTTTAGCAACAAGGGGAGCTAAAGTTCAGAGTGTAGTGGTGACTGTGGAAAAAGGGCCAAGCCAGAGTTGTGACTTTGCTCTTTTCTGCAGTTGATCTCCGACCATATCTCCTTCCCTTACCCTTCACCAAGACAAATACACCAGCTCCCCTCCATGCTCCCTGTAAGTGCAGCAGCTGAGGTTAGCTGGATTCCCTGAGAGACAGCAGCCAAGGCCTGGGCGGCCTTGGCTCTGTTGCAGAGGGGCCGCCTGCCTGCCTGCCTGCATTTCACCAGCCTGGGGGTTGGGGGGACGCTCTGAACCAGTGCCTACTCGCTCCCCAACAAGTTCAGGGCTTAGAGTTCAGGTAATTAGGCCCTTGGCAATCTCACCTAAGCCCGCCAATAAAACTGAAACAAACACCTTCAGCTCCTCTTCAGGAGGGAGAGAGGAAATGAAGAGGGAAGGAGGGAGGACAGGGGAAATTTTTTTTTTTTTTCTAAGCTGAATTCCAGCCTTGGCAACCAGAAGAAAGAAGGCTGGTATTCTACAAAGTAGCCACTCCAAACACTCTACCATATTCCACAATCATGGTCATCCCTCTTGCCACAGAACCCTGGCCTCCTTCTGCCACCATTATCCAGGTGACAGTCAACACCTGTTGGCACTGCCACTGGAACAGGAAACATACAATGAGGGCTTAAGCTTGCAGGGCTAGCTTTCTCCAACATGGCTTCTTTAATGGTAGAAAAGAGAAGGCACAGCATCCTGCAACCCCCCCTGGGGAGATATAGCCACCCCTCAAGAAAGTCTAAAAGGGTGCTCCAGAGTGTTCAAGAGTAACTGGGGTGGGGAGGGAGGAGTGGAGGTTCACCAGATTGGAAGGCAGGGAAGGATGGATGTGACAGTACAATAAAAAGACAGTAGAACGCATCGGACATCACTTTCCTATGTTCATATATGATCGCACAACCAGTGAAACTCCACAGCATATACAGCCACAAAAATGGGAAGTTATACTCGATGTATGTAGGATTATAAAACATAAAAATAATTATTTAAAAAATTTTTAAAAAGAGTGACTACATGACTTCTTCTTACTCTGGTGTTACCATCAATTGTTGAGATCTTAATCCTTGTTTGAGCTCCTGTAGAATGGAGACCATTTCTTAACCATGCTGTGATTGGCATGCTGTCCAACACTCAGATAGGAATTTCCTTTTCTCCATAAATAATAAAAAATATTTCTTGTTGATATGGGATGGAGTTCCATACCAAGCCCTTTTTACTGGATAGTCTAAACTCCTTTCTGGGATACACAGGAAGAAGGGCATTTCTGTCATATGGGAGCGTGGGAAAGACGAAGTTTAATTATAATAATTGCCATTTGTTGATTGCTTGCTAGGGGCCTAGCATAAGTAGTCTACGAGGGTTCTCTAATTCTTCCTACATGGTAGGTGTTGTTATTATTATCCCAATTTACAGATAAGAAAACTGAGGCTAAGAAAGACAGAGGTTTGCCCAAGGTCACACTCGGACTTTAATGAACACTTGACTTGAACTGAATGCTCCCACTCTATACTAAGAATTAGTAGGAAGGAGGGGTAGGGCATCTTGCTCCAAAATACTCCTATCTAGTCTCCCCCAGCAGGTAAGCAGGCCCTAATACAGTCAATAAGCTCTGCTACATATCCTCCTTGGGAGCAACAGGTCCATCTAGACTCTAAAGTTGGAGGGCCTCCTCTGGAGTGGATGTACCCTTCCACCTGCGATGGAACCTGGAAGCCTTCAAGGAACCAAAGGCTACCATTGCCTCTGCCTTTCCCACTGCAGGCTTCTGTGGTTCAAGAATAAAGCTCCCAGTTCCTCATTGCACGTCCTCCAGGGAAGAGATCCCGACAGGTGGAAAGTGGGTGCATTGAGGGATCCTGGGAGTTGAATTGAGCCAGAGGCTTCTCGCTTCCTTTCCAACACCCCCCGCAAGAGCTGAGTTGTGTCTCGTGCGGGGAGACGTGGGCAGTGCAGTCAGTCTTGGGGTCTGCGGCTTGTCCAAGACGGAGGACCTCGCAGCATCACCTGGCCCTGGGCAGACACCCTCAGGGAAATACATAACCACATCCTCGGCGTGCACGCGCAACAGAAAGCGCCCCTGAGGAACCAGGACTGGGACTGGCGCGCCCAAAGCTCGCTGGTCCCCTCCTCTCCCCGCCCCTTTCTTACCGCCAGGCTCTAAGGCCAGAGGCCCCAGCAGCTGGCTAATTTTTCACGCCCCCCAGACCGCCTCCCTAGGTGACGCTACAGCCTCTACGGTTCCTTTAAAGGCTGCGGGTTCCGTTCTTCTTTCCTTTTCCACTGGATGCCAAAATATGCAAATTCGGGGACCGGAATCTGCAGCCAAATAGAGAAGGAGAAGGGGCGCGGCCGGCACGTCACCGGATCCGCTCCTTGTATGGCTCTTCCCGGCTTGGCCAGCCGCCCCGCGACCCTCCCTGCAGCCGCCAGGGCCCCTCCCTCATCCAGCCCGGCTCACACAGCCACCCACGCCCCCCGACCGGCCGCTCGCCCCCCCCCCCCAGGGAACCGGGGGCGGGAGGCGCTGCATGCCCTGATTCCGGCCGGAGCCAGGGACCGCTGCAGCGCGCTGCTTCCCCGCGCCGCGCGGGCGGAGGAGAGCCCGGGGGCGCTGTGCCTCCCCGGCATAGGAATTGGGAGCCTGGCGGGAGAGGCGGCGGGGGTGGTGGAGAGGGGGCTCGCGGGCGGCGGGAATCCCTCCTTTCCTAAGAACTAGAGAAGATCCGGGGGAGACCGGGCCCTCCCATCCTCAGCTTTCCATGGAGTGAAGTGGCGGGGAGGGAAAGGAGGTTGTCATCCACCCCCACCACAATGCGCAGCTCGGGAGTTCCTCCCACACGTCCCCGGCCCGCATGGCCCTCCCACGGCGTGAGGCCCGGGGATCCTCTCTTCTTCCTTGTCAACACTCCCACTCCCCCTGAGAGATGCACGGTCCCCCAACCCCGACTCTGCAGCGGGGGACGCGGGATTCACCGTGCCCACGCGGCCACCGAGGAGAGAATCCTCCCCCGCCAAGCCGGTGTGATTCGGGGTCGCGCCTCTGTGCGCCCTTCCTCTCCTCCCCCTCGCCTGCGGCCCGGCCGCGCGCGCTTTAGGAGCAGGCCTCGGGGAACACATCACCCGCCCCCGGGATCCGCTGCCGCTCCGGGAGCTGACAGCGCTCCAGGTCGGCACATAGGCCGCGCTTGACTGCAGGGCGCGAGCAGGCAGCAATGAGGACAGCCCTGTGGAAGGCGAAGCGGAGGGTAGAGACTAGGAGAGGCTGCGGGGGGGGGGGGGGGTGTTCAGAGATCGTGGATTCGGTGTTCTCCTGGTGCAACTCAGCAGCGGCCCTTTCGCAGGCAGCAATAAACAGCTACTGTGCTGGGGCCTGCTGGGCCCTCCTGCCATCCTGTGGCCAAAGGGGTTGTTTTGGAATCGTTAGGGAATTTATCTGGGACTTGGTGCACGTGTTTTCTATCCTAAACTTCATTTCTTCTTCCTCACCACCAAAACCGCACATCTTCGACTCCAGATGAGTGGGACTCTTGCCTCCCGCGCAACCGATTGGCAGTTACAACACCCCACCATCACCGAGTTCAACTGGAAGTCAGCTCCGGGCCAGGGGTCCAGGAAGGGGCAGGGGCTGCGAATCAGAGTGAGGTGTGCACCAAAGTTCTCAGGATAATGGGCCAAAGAGCCCTAACACCTTGGAACCCCCAGGCAAAGGGAAGCACTCTCGTTAGAGTCTCGAGTAGGGTCCTGAACTCTAGGGGCGCCGCAGGAGCACGGTCTGAGCGCATACCTTCCGGGTTCCCCAGCAGCTTTCAGACTACCAAGGGGACATCGTCGGGTGTATTCAATTTTCTTTCTCCCTCCTGGGGTTGCTGTAGGCCAGTTGCAACCCCAGTCCACCCTCCATACATGCTAATTCAGTCCTCAAAAAAGCGCGCGCACGCGCGCACGCGCGCGCAAACACACACACACAAACACAGGCTTGGTTACTGGTTTTTCCACTAAGCACTAAGCACTGCGTGCTGCGCGCTTTGCTTTCAGCAGCATCCCTCTTTCACATTTTCCTTCTCTTTTTTTCTTCTACTTTTCTCTTTTTCTCTCTTTATTTAAGAGCGGCGAACGATGCGGGCGCTGCACGTTGGCTGCGGCCCGCTTCCTGCTTTCTAATGTTCCATTGTGAGGAGCTTCCATTGTGACGTCGCGCCCCTTCGGCTGGGCTTTGTCTGTCCATATATGGGCAGCTACGTCACGGAGTTTTCCCGGGGCTCAGATAAATAGGCTGGTGGAGTTCCCTGGCTGGGAGCTTTTGGGCAGCAGTGAGCTTGCTAGGAAGCGGCGGGGCTGGTGGTGGTGGTAGCAGCGGCGGCAGCGGCGGCAGAGGCAGCGGCGGCAGAAGCGGCGGCGGTGGCGGCGGTGGTGGCAGATCGGGGGACGGGGGGGTGGCGGGCGCGTGTCTGTTTGTAAGATCAATACTGAGGCCGCGTCCGACCCCCTAGAGCCGAGATCACCCCGAGCCCAGCCCCCACCCCACCCCCCGCACACGCCCCACCCCCCACGACCCAGCCTCACACAGCACCAGCTGAGGCACCCAAGAGGATTACCCCCTTTGCCCCCCTCCCACCCACCCCCCAAAAAAGAGAAGATCCCCTCCCCTGGCCCACCCCTTCCCCTCTTCCCTCCCCCCTCCCCCCGAACTTTCCCTCTCGCATGCTTTTCCCCTGCACCACGGATCGCCTCTCCGATGCCGCTTGCCTGGAAGCTGCGTTAGGAGCGAGCGGCGGCGGCGGCGGCGGCGGTGGCGGCGGCGGCGGCAGCTCGGGAGTGCTATGACCGGCAAACTCGCCGAGAAGCTGCCGGTGACCATGAGCAGTTTGCTAAACCAACTGCCTGACAATTTGTACCCCGAGGAGATCCCCAGCGCGCTCAACCTCTTCTCTGGCAGCAGCGACTCGGTGGCCCATTACAATCAGATGGCTACAGGTAAGGGTGGCAGGGAGGCTGCGAGGCAGCAAGGAAGGCAAGGGAGAGGAAGAGAAGGAAGGAACGAGCTAGCGATGGATGGATAGATGGATGGATGGATGGATGGATGGAGAGGTGGGGGCGTGCTGGGAATTTTCTGGGGGGCGAGTTGCTTTTCCCACCCACTCCTCCCGCCCTCCCCGATCGGGAAGGCTCGGTTGGCGACGCCACGGTAGAGGCTTCGGTTCTCCCGGGTGGGGGCAGCCGCCGATCGGAGGGAGGTAGGTGCGAGCTGCTCTGGGGTTCTCCCTCCCCACGCAGGGGGCCCGATCTCTGGGCTGCACGCAAGGCGTGGTGCTGTCGCCCCCTTTCTCGGGAGGAGCCCAGCGTCTTTTTTCACCCGCGCTCTCCCCCCTTACTCCCTCAGCCTCCCACCCGGGATGGAGCCATGTGCGGCGTGGAGTCCCCGCGGTGGGAGAGGTACTGCGACGCTGCCTTTCCGGGGCGTTCAGCAAAACCGTGGGGGTGTGGGGACGGCTGGGAGAAGGAGGGGGCTCTCCTGCGGGGCTGGGGGTACTGCCACAGGGGGCGATCCTGGGACCCGGGAGCTTGGGAAGGGCGGCCGCTCCAGCGCTGGAGACACGGGCCGGTTTTCCGCCGCCCTCCACCCTCTCTAGCTGGGCATAGGCTTTTCCCCTCCAGCAAGAGCTGAAAGCCCCTTCAGGCCAGGAGGAGGCTGGGGACCGGGGAGGCCACCGGAGAGCTCCCTTTGCGGGCGGCACCCTTCTACGCTCCGAGGACAAAGCGTTGAAGCGCTCTGGGTCCGCGACCCAGGCGCAGCGCGCGTAGGGGGCATCGCCCTGGCGGTAAAGGCGCGGCGTCCTGGAGTAGACAGGGCCAGGGGAAGAGGCCGAGTTGTGTGAGCTGGAGAGCGAGAGCCCGGCGCGCTCCGGGTCTGAAACTACCTGTAGCTGCAGCTACCTGCCCGCCCCACCTCGGGAAGAACAACAATGCTTCTCGCGCGCGCGCGCGTGTGTGTGTGGTACGTGAGTGTGTGCGCGGCGTGTGCGGTGTGTGTGCCGCAGCCACTCCACACCCCGATCCGTAGTATTTTGCTGTATCCAGGTTGCGCCCGGGAGCGCGGCACCGCCCGCTTTGCGCCGGGCCCAGCGTTCCTCTTACCCCATGCGCTGCGCACTCCAGCCGGCCGCACCCTCCTCACCTGGGCAAGGACCTGGGCTCCACGGCCCGGAGCCGACTCGGCTTCACTCACCCCTCCCCTCTCTCCCCCGCTCTCCGCAGAGAATGTGATGGACATCGGTCTGACCAACGAGAAGCCCAACCCGGAACTCTCTTACTCGGGCTCCTTCCAGCCAGCCCCCGGCAACAAGACCGTGACCTACTTGGGAAAGTTCGCTTTCGACTCCCCTTCCAATTGGTGCCAGGACAACATTATTAGCCTCATGAGTGCCGGCATCTTGGGGGTGCCCCCGGCCTCAGGGGCGCTCAGCACGCAGACATCCACCGCCAGCATGGTGCAGCCGCCGCAGGGAGACGTGGAGGCCATGTATCCGGCGTTACCCCCTTATTCCAACTGCGGAGATCTCTACTCGGAGCCCGTATCTTTCCACGATCCCCAGGGCAACCCCGGGCTCGCCTATTCCCCCCAGGATTACCAATCGACCAAGCCAGCCTTGGACAGCAATCTCTTCCCCATGATTCCTGACTACAACCTGTACCACCACCCCAACGACATGGGCTCCATTCCGGAGCACAAGCCCTTCCAGGGCATGGACCCCATCCGGGTCAATCCGCCCCCTATCACCCCTCTGGAGACCATCAAGGCGTTCAAAGACAAGCAGATCCACCCGAGCTTCGGTAGCCTGCCCCAGCCGCCGCTCACGCTCAAGCCCATCCGGCCCCGCAAGTACCCCAACCGGCCTAGCAAGACCCCGCTCCATGAGCGGCCCCATGCGTGCCCGGCGGAGGGCTGCGACCGCCGCTTCAGCCGCTCGGACGAGCTGACCCGGCATCTGCGTATCCACACGGGCCACAAGCCCTTCCAGTGCCGGATCTGCATGCGGAGCTTCAGCCGAAGCGACCACCTCACCACTCATATCCGCACGCATACGGGCGAGAAGCCCTTTGCCTGCGAGTTCTGCGGGCGCAAGTTTGCGCGCAGCGACGAGCGCAAGCGCCACGCCAAGATCCACCTCAAGCAAAAGGAGAAGAAGGCGGAGAAGGGGGGTGCGCCCTCCGCGTCCTCGGCGCCCACCGTGTCTCTGGCCCCCGTGGTCACCACCTGCGCCTGAGGCTCGGGCCCCCAGAATCCCCTCTTTTCCCCTCCAGTGCCTCCCGGCTGCTCGCCTGAAGGCAGCGGGAAAGCCAGCCACGGAGGCTCAAGGGCCGCGCCCTGGCCTCTCCATGGACGTGCGGCCCTTTGCACCCCTTCGATGCCCCCCATTCCCATCCTTTCACACCGGCCAGCGGTCGAGGGCCAGGCTGGAGGCGCCTTCCCCTCGCTGTCCCCCACTTAGCCAAGGCGTGGGGGCGGAAAGGTGGCGTCTAGCCCGCTTTGTTCAGTTGGGATCGCCTTGATCCAGGGGCCGCTGGGCCGCGCCAAGGACCTGCGGGGGACTGAAGGCGGGGCCCACCCAACCCTCGCCCTACCCAAGCACCTCACTGATTCCCCCCGTGTGTCTCTTCCCCCTCGAAGACCCGAGAGGGGGAGGGAGTATGGAGCGCACCAAAGCGCAGAGCTTGCTGCCCGCCGCACGCACGCGCGCCTGCGTGCGGGGATGCGCGCGAGTGTGTGCGTGCTCGCGTGTGTGTGTATGTGTGTATGTGTGTGTGCGCGCGCGCGCGTGTGTGAGAGACTCTTGAGCTGAACTGGGCTGTGTCTAACCCAAACTCTTCCCCACATCGGGTCCCCAAAGCCGCTCGGGGATATCCCAGGCTAGGGGCCTGCACGTGGCTGGAGGAGATGGTCTTCCATCTGCTCCGAAATAATGTTTCTTACAGAAATGCCTCGGATGCCGCCGCAGCGGTGCTGCTGCAGCCGCTTAGGGTTTGGCCCCTCAGAACCCCCCCCCCTCTTCCGAGCGCTTCCTTCTTAGGCCTCAGGGCAGTTTGATCTGCGGGGAGAAAGAGCAGCCATCACTGAGCCTGCCTTTTAAAAAATATGTTTTCTCGGCCCCCCTTTCCAAAATCTATGCTCCTGAGTTTGCCCTCTGCCCTCTCCCTCTTCTTTTCCCCTCTCCCTGACTTCTTCCCCATGTCTCTCAAAACCTTTTATCAGAAAGGCAGGCCCCAATCAGCCACCCAACTTTGTTTTTTCACTCACATACCTATTTCTTCTTCCCACCATTCATGAGAAAGCTGGCCATGTTTTTTGTTGTTGTTTGCTTCTGTCATCACCAACACAACAGATAGAATTTAAATATATGTGTATGGTGTGTGCATGTATGTGTATGTATATGTATGTGCATATATATATATATATATATATATATATATATATATACACACACACACACACACACACACACACATACATACAATATGTATTCCTAGCAAAATCAAATCTCTAAGGTACTTGGTTATCCGGCGCAGTGCACTGGAATAAAGAGAACTAGTAGGCATATACAGCTTTAAATGATTTATTTTTTATGAAAATATTAAATGATGAAATTATATCTACATGTTTGTATGTATACGTGGATATATATATACACATATACATACATATATGTGCGTATATATGCATACACATATCTCTGTCCAGATTTTCCTCTAAGTTACATGAGGATTTTTGCATTAATCCATGTTGATGAATCAGGCACATCTTTTCCATTCCCCAGTCTCACCTTCTCCCTGCCCTACCTCACCTCTTCTCAGGCGCCCCCTCTTCCCCAGCTGTCCTGCCCAGCCCTTCCTCACACAGGGTGGCCCTTTTGAAGTGGAGAAGTAGGGAAGGGTGCTCTCTGACACAGCTCCCAGCAGTCTTGACTGAATGTACTGTTCCCTATTAGCGTTATTTCTCCTGTGGCCAGTAAGCTGCCCAGAGAGAAGGAACAAAGGTCTGGAGTTTACAGAATGTCTGTTTTTAAAGTCACTTTATGCGTTTCCCACTTTATTTTTTTTTTTTATAAAAAAGCACCGTTTTTGGTGGTGGATAATAATACTAAGAGGACTCTAGTGAAAGGGGAGAAAAACTCAAAGAATAGGGGGATTGTGAATTTCCAGGTACTTGGGCTTTTTGTAGAAGGAGAGAGAGGAAGATGAAGTTTGCCAGGAGGGCCCATATTTTTTCAGCTGAAGGGTAAAATCTTTCTTTGCAGAGACAGTATTTTGCTGAATACTTTTTATAATGTGATGATTATTAAAAAAAAAAATTTGGTCACTTCAAAGCTGGAAGGAGGAATCAGATATCCTTTAATATTTTTTCCTTGCTCCTCCTGGGATATGCATGTTACTGCATGATTACTCTGAGTTTTCCTTTGTTTTAATAAAACTGTTCTCAGACATTTAAGCTAAACTAAGAGAAAAATAACTTTGTTGCCAAAAGGTTGTGCTATCCAGATTTTTTTATATGTCTGCATGTTTTAAAACCAACAAAAGAAAATGCACTCTAACTTATGTGAACTGAGAGAAAAAAATCAGGTTTTAAACAGGAAAACCTATGGGGAATGATATTTTTTGAAAGACTTTTGTACAAAGTTGAGTACTTAGAAAAAGACAAACCAGATGTAATATATTTTGTGGATGTTTTTATTTCTTGGATTTATAGTACCTTATACTAAGGTTAAAAAAATGCTTGATATTGTGAAAAGGTGAGATTCTTCACCAACATTTCATTTGCTCCTTTGTCACATTGTTATGCCAATATAATATAGTTAATGAAAACAGCATTTTTAAAAACCGAAATATTGAAATGGTGTAATGTTGTACCATTTGCACTGTGAGCAAATGCCAATACAGTAAATATATTGTGTTTGCTGACAATCAGCCGGCCTTTAAATCTCCTTATTTTATTTCTTGTTTTCATAGCATAAAGTTTTGGTTTGGCCTGTTTTTTGTCTTGTTTTGTTTTTGGCTGGTGGTTTGTTTGATAGGTTGCTATGCCTCATTTTGCTGTTCTTGTTCTAAAAACTCTGGAAATATGGAACCTGGTGTTACTGGAAGTGGGTCAGAATTTTGTGTGGGTTCCAGAGTTTCAAATCCATTTTTGAGTGCCAACTGTGGTTCTAGGAGAATAGGATCCCACTTCACCTTTCTGGGAGTCTGAAACTATCACAGATTAAATGAACAGGTTGGATAAATTCATGGGAGTCAAGACTGGTGACTAAAATCTTCTAGAACCTTCCTTCTGGTTTCCAATGAGTAAATCTCCTACTTTGTGAAGTATTTCTCTAATGATCTTAAGGAATTCCTGAACAGGAGGACTCTGAAGGGCCTCTTTTGCTTAAGCTTTTGAAGCCTGAAAAACAGAAACTTGACAGGGATTCTTCAGGGTTGGCAAGATAACTGAAAAGACTGGCAATTCTTTTGTGGTCAGATAATGGGGGGAAATCAGATTTTAAAGTTCTACAACTTTAATCCCACTTGGACAGAATTCCTCTAGGGCTCACTTGTCAATAGCTGGGAAAGGTAGCCAAGGTGGTCCTGATTCAAAAATAGCTCCTATGACTGACCCAATGCTTTTCAGGGAAGGAAGGACATCTGGGATTTGGAAAACATGCAGGGAAAGTTTGTGTAGCATCAAACCATCACATCTTATGATTTCTATCTCCCATGAAAATAGTGCTTCCCTCACCCCGCCAGCTATCTTTCCCAGAACATTCCTCATCCTTAACCAGGTTTACCAGCCAGCCTAGAGCTTTCTCCATTGCTTATGAGGAAATATGTGCATTTCACTTATTGTGTCTGCATCTCTACCCTCTCCTCTCACATACTCCCTGTAGTCTTAAGAATCCTTTATCCCTGCAAGGTTGGTTCTAGAGCAGTCTTTGGACAACTCAGTACTCTCTCTCTCCTTTTCCTTCTGTGCACATTATAGAAAATTCACCTGGTCTTCTCTGCTGTGCCTTTTGCATGTGATCTGCCTCACCAAAGTTTCGGGCTTTGTAAATGACAATGCGCTGTGTAAATGTAGCACCAGATTGTGAGAGGGGTCAGCGTGTCTGCCCCTGAGGTGCAAACCAGGCCAGGCCCAAAGTCACAGAAATGTGTCCCTGCTCAGAGAGTGCTCTTGACACCCCAGTGCAGACCCATCACGGAAATATGGAGGACATTTCTGATTGGCTATAGTTACCAAAACGTTGAGGCCAGAGCTGAGTGGAGGAGGTGGGCTGCGGCCTTAGAAAAGAATGTTTTTGACGTGAGAGGTGAATAAAGAGAATGCAGTATGGAATTTTAAATTCTCGCACCCACACAATTCTAGGTCACTGGTTGCCATATTGAATTCCTTTCTCTCACCTCAAGAAACTCAGAATTCCAAACTGCAGCTTTATAGACAGAGAGTTCCTTCTTAAAGGAAATCCAAGATAGCTGAGAAGTCCTAATGATTGCGCTTGTAGTCCATCTTTTCACTAAACTAGATGTTTCCTTCCAGATTTCTATGGTTTTCAGGTGAATATTATCAGAGGCAAAGATATTATCACTGGGTGTCTTCATAGTTAGCATCCTGCCCCACCTGCACCTTCTCCAATCAAACCAGGCCTTCAGAGTTACACTTTCGTCAACAGTGTACAACACCGCATGATTAATAAACTCATTTCCCATTGGTGGATATTACTCAGCCCAACCTGGTTCAACCACTGGGTTACTTGGCAATATGGCAGTCCGCCTGGCTGGCACCAGCCCTGTGTGGTGTAATCACTGATTCACACTTTGTAGATAGATAAGGCTGCCTCTGATAGCATCATACCGGCTACCCAACCTGCCTGGGTTTTGCAAATATGGGGAGAGGAGACTCAACCCTGAAACTTAAGGATGAAGCAGAGAATTGGTGAAGCAAATGCCTGGATGGGAAGGAATTCCATAAGAAGGAATTGATGGAGACTTTGCAGAAAATAAGCCTGGAGCAAAATCATTAAATTATAGGAGAATTAGAGGCATAGCTCCTTCCAAGCACCCTCTAAGGTGTTTGAGGGTGAATGAAAGGACACCAAAAGGCGTGCACACACATGCACCATCTTAAAAGTGGCAATCTGAAAGTGATGGCTTTTTGCGAGGTTGTACTTGGTGAACCAGAGTTTGGTATAAATGAGATAATTTTGAGAATGTAGAGTAAGGAGTAGCATATGTTTTTATATGGTGGTAATGGGGGTTATGTGTGTGTGTGTAATATATAGAAAGAAATAGCAAAGTGGATTTTGGTAAACAAAGGCCATAGCTTGTGGCCAGTTGTTACTGTTCCCTGCATTTGCTAGTCCAGGATTTGTTTGCCATATATGAAGAGGTTGTGAGCTTCCTCATCCTGGCCCTGAGGAAAGAAGGGGGCCTCTATGTGTCCCAAAGCTAGAAATTATACTGGCAAAATCTTAGTGACTAGTGGGACTTTCTAAAAGGTACTGTGGGGTTTTAACAATAAGTCATAATCCTAAATCTATCCCAAAGCATTCTGTTCAGAAAACCCAGTCTTTGAAAATAGGAAAGAGATCTTCATAGAAAGGGGAAACATCTGAGTGAATCTTGAAGACCTTTGGCCAGACACCAGACTAGTCCCTGGGACAGCCCTGAGGACACTCGGTCCTAACCATAGATCATCCACAGAGGCCAAGAGGACATCATATCCCAGCAGCTTCTCCTAGACACCCAGTTCTTGAAGTTGACCATTCCTTTTGCTTAAAGGTCTCCATCAACCCCATCTCCATTGTTTTCAAGATTGATCACTTTCACAGCCCTCTGTAAGAATAGAAGTAAGGCTTTCCCCAGTTTGCAATCAAGTCT